TTTTTTTTTGGCGGAACCAGGGATTAAACTCAGGCCCTTGCGCTTGCCAGGGAAGTACTTATTGTACTGAACCATCTCCCAGGCCCCGTTGACTATATTCTTATTCTTACTTATTTTTGGAAATAGGATCTCTCCATGTAGCCCAGACTGGTCTTGAATTTTTAGTGATCCTCCTTTCTCAGCCTCCTGAGTGCTGGGATTATAAGTGTGTGCCACCACGCCCAGCTTTTTTTTTTTTTTTCCTTCTGACTGTATACTCAAGAGGCACCAAGTATAGTCATTAATTCTTGAGTTGCCTATAACTAATATAAGCCTTGTTAAACAGAAACCCTATGTGTGCTGAGGGACCAACTGCTGGTCTCTGGAGGACACATGGCCATCAAAGGGCAGCACTATCAACCTGCTGTCACAGTACTTGCCCTGGAGGAAGGAAGAGGACTGGGCTCTGGCTGTGGATGGACTTGAGTGCCTAGGCCTGAATCCCTTATATGGCAAGCCTTTTTATCTCTTTGGTACCGGGAATTGAACTCAGGACCTTATACTTGCCAGGCAGGCACTTTTGCCACTGAGCTATATCCTCAGCCCAATTTAATTAACTTTTAAATTAGTACATTTTAGTGTTGAGGGTGTGACCCAAGGTCTCATGTGTTAGGTAAGCCACTCTACCACTGAGCTATAGCCCCAGCCCAAATTATTTATTTGTGAAGCTTAATGTATTTGCTGGTTTTACTATGCAGCACAGGTTGGCCTCTAACTCATGGTGGTCTATCTGTCTCAGCTTCCTGAGCACTGGGATTCCAGGTGTGCATCACACATCTGGGAAGCCGTGAATATTTGATCTTCCTGCTTTCACCTTCTAAGTCTTGGGACTAAAGGTGTGTGTCACCATGCCTGAACCATAGTTTGCTCATCTATGAAATGAATCCAGAGGGTGGGTGTGATGGTAAATGCATATAATCCTAGCACTCAAGAGGCTGAGGCAGGAGGATTGTTTCAAGTTTGAGACCAGCCTAGACTACAAAGTAAGCTCAAAGCCAGCCTCAACTGCATAGTGAGACCCTATCTCAAAAAGACAAAAAAGAGAAGAAGAAAAAAAGAAGTGAGTCCAGTTTTCTGAATGTTGAAAAGTGAAGTGAGATACTGTGTGAACTGCCTAGCACACTGCCTGGAACAGGCAGATGCCCAGCCACATCCCCTTTATAAGAAGAGCCCCCCTCAACCAGAGACTTTGTACCTTGATTTTTTTTTTTTTTTTTTTAAGGAGGAAAGGTATATGTCAGCTCACAGTTTGTAGAGGTTTCAGGTAACACAGGGCAGCAAGACAAAAAGCAGCAATTAACATAGCAGGGATTGGACTGGGGAGATGGCTCAGTAGACTAAGCACTTGCCTGGCAAGCACAAGGACCTGAGTTCAAATCCTGATTCCACAAAAAATAAATAAATAAATAAATAAATAAAAGCTCAAGATTTAAAAAAAAAAAAAAACATAGCAGGGATAGCTATACCTTGATCTTGAGGCTGTCCCTGAAGTTGGTCATGAGTGCGTGGTCCTTCTGTCTGTTCTCATTGATGTTTTCAATCAGGTCCTGGGCTCTCTTCTTTAAAATGTTGATGCTTGAGTCCAGAGAGGAAAAGTAGAGTCCTCCCTTCCCTTCCAGCACTGGCAGTTGGTGGCTAGCACTGGAGGTGGAGATACAAGGGCTAGAAATCTGACTTCTGAAAGTACAGGAAACAGACATCAGCACTAGACACTCCAAGAGTGGACACTGGGTGGGTGTGGGGGGGGTGGCCCAATGACCGATCTAGTGCTTAGCATGTGGCCCTGCCCTAGCTTCCAGCCCCAACACACAAAAAAGCAACTGAAAGAAAAAAAAAAAAAAAGCAACTGATCTCTGTGTGTGTGTGTGTGTGTGTGTGTGTGTGTGTGTGTGTGTGTGTAGGGGAGCTTGTACTGGGACTCAAACTCAGGACCTCACACTTGTCTGGCAAGTACTGTACCACTAAGCTATACTGCCTGGTCTGCAAGAGTGGCTGATCTGAACTGAGGGAGTTCTATGATAAAGCAATTTTCCTAAGTCACTTCATTCATGCCCTCAGATACGAGTATGCATCCCTCCCTCAGGTGTGTGTATGTGTGTGTGTGTTACTGGGGATTAAACCAGGGCCCTCACAATGAACTACATTTTAAATTTTTTTCAATTGTGAGACAGTGTCTCACTAAGATGCCCAGGCTGGGATACTTGTGATAACCCTGTTTCACCTTCCTAGAGTGTTGGAATTATAGGTATGTGCCACCATTCTTGACGCCCCATTTTATAATGAAGAAAACAAAGCTAGAGGCACAAACTAAAGATGCCCAAAATTCCAAAACAGAAAGAGCTATTTCACTGCAAGGCCCACTAATATTTTGTTACATCAACTTGCTTCTTTGGGATAGGCATGAAGAGGACAAGCTGAGTGGTGGCCAGTGCTTGTAATCCCAGCTACTCAGGATACTGATGTATGAGGTCAGCCAACCTGAGTAACTCAGCAAGACCTGGACTTGAGGGGCCAGGGAGATGGCTCAGCAGAATAAGCACTTCCCTGGCAAGCGCAAGGGCCTGAGTTCAATCCCTGGTTCTGCTAAAAACAAAAAAAACAAAACAACAACAAAAAAATGACCTGGACTTGAATAGTATGGTGCAGATGCTTTTTAAAATGACCTTCATGTCACCCGCTGCATACTTTCTACACTCAAAGGGTGATGGTCACAGCAGGCAGAGACCTAGGCTAGGTAGAGTACTTGTTGTCATCACCTGAAGTAAATGCTGTCATGAGTTAGATTTTAGGCTAGGGTTGTGGTTCAGCAGTATAGCACTTGTCTAGCATGCATAAGGCCCTGGGTTTGTACCTTAGCACTATAAAATATGTATTTATTTATTTATTTTTTGGCTGGCTCAGGCTGCCTTAAGGGTGGGTCTGGTGCAGCATGTGGACCTGGGGATCAAACTTCAGTCCCCTGTGCCTGATTGAGTTTGCCCAAGCAAGCGCTTTAAACAACTAAGCTAGCCAGCAAGCCCCCTAATTTCTATTTTTTTTTTTAATTTTATTTATTTATTTATTTGTGTGTGTGCAGCCAGCTCAGCCCACCAGAGGGCGGGGCTGGCTGGCATGTGGTGCTGGGAGATTGAACTGCAGTCCCTGTGCTTTGCTAAGCTTGTTCTAAGTAGGTGCTTTAGACCACTGAGCCATCTCACCAGCCCAAACCCACAGTCTTCTTTTTTTTTTTTTTTTTCGGAACCAGGGATCAAACTCAGGGATACATTCTGAGTGAAGTTTTTTCTTGAGGTGCTGGGGACGGAGCCCAGGCCCTGGCCCATGTTGTCAAGTGTTCACCACTGAGCTGCACCCTGGTCCCACGTGTTCATCATTGGAAAAAGGTTTTCTCCAGAAAACCTTTTCTTGGCTCTCAGTCTCTTGCTGGCCTTAGCTCTGCACGATGGCTCAGAATGTACATGCCGTGGAAGTCCTGGACTAGAAGCCTGCGCAGTTAGAGCTCTCCTCTGTAGGCAAGTTCCCAGGCCCCAGGCTGCGGCTGTGTCCTTATCCTGCATGTCTTGGCAGACCATTTCCTTGCCTCGGTGCCTCTGCACCTGCTCCCTGACTGGAGCTCTGAGCCCCACCCAGACCGCTGTAGTACTTGCTGTTTGCTTTGCTTAAAGCCATCAATGACTCCTGTGCATCTATACTGCTGTGTGTGTGCATGACCTTTCAGGCCCCCAAGCCCCACCAGGCTGTGTCTCCTCTTCCTCCGCACTCCCAACATCCAGCCAGTCCTATACCCTGTGCTGAATGACTGTCCTACCCGCTCCTCTTCCTCCTAGGCTCCACACAAAGAACACAAGTTCATCACCCTGCAAGGTGGACAGCTGTGCCTAGTGTGTCAGAACAGGAAAGCACCTCAAAAGAGACAGATGTGCTATAGCCCGGATATACCAGCCAGCTGGAAAAACATGTGAATAAATAGCGCATGGCTCCCTGAGCATTTCTGCAAACAGATATTTAGAGTGAGACAAAAATTTATTGAGGAACTTCTGCCTGCAGCAGTTCTTTCCCAGGGGTAAGCAAGGAGGGGAGGAGGCTAATTCAGAGCTGGGCACTGCTGCATTTCAGATGTTTGTACCATCTGGATACACATGGAGAGAATAGCTGAAACCAGTGTAGCAGCACACCTGCACATCCCGGCTACTTGGAAGGCTGGGGCATTTGGAGCCTAAGTTTGAGGACATCCTGGGCCACTTATCGAGACCCTGTCCCAAAAATGAAAAGAATGAAGGAGTAGCTCAGTGTTAGTGCTCAACTGGCATGTGCCAAGGCCCTGAGGCTCCATTCCCAGTGTACATACACACAGGAATAGCCATAAGCTGTGCACTGAGAATGGCATGGGAACAGAGCTGGGAGGCTGGGAGGACTGGAACATAACGGTGGCCTTGGGCTTCCCTGAGACCTCCAGAACTGTTACCCCATCTCGCAGCCCAAATCCAGGGCCTGCTCACTTAGGGTGGATTCAGCGCTTCTTCCCATCACTTCCTCCCCTGCACTCCACTCTCCCATCATGATCATATGCTTTCTCTTGTCCAATACTCCAGAATCTGAGTGTCACTGGAGGAAGCAGTGGCCCCGGGGACACAGTAGATTCCTGTTCTGCAGTGATGCAGGGGATCCTCAGGGCCTCCCTGTGCTCAGGTCACTGCTCTCTCTCACTCCTCGTGTGAGCCCTGCCAAAGCTTCAAATGCTCCATCCCTGTCTCCAGTTTGACTCCCCTCACCTAAACAGATAGGGAAGTAGTCAGGTCTGGAACACCTTCACTTGCCTGTGGGCATGAACAGCCTCTAGCTCAGCTGAAGAGTTGCCAGTCTTCTGGTTCCCTCTTCTCCGCCTTTTGATTTTACCTCGTCTCCTTCAGCTGGCTCTTTCCCCCTGGTGTGTACTATTCCTTTCCTCCCTTGCTCTCCCCCTCTAGTTCTTCTGCAGTGCTGGGGACGGAACCCAAGGTGTCACACATGCTACACTGAGCAGAACCCCATCCTGGCACACACTGTGTCATGCACAAAAATCCACCTCAAATCCAGGCCCCCTTAGCGTCCCTCTTTTTTTCCTATCACAGAAGGTTCAAGAAAGATCTCCCACTTTTCCTGGGCATATTTTTCTTCACTTCTCGGCTCACTGCAATGGGCTTCCTGGCCCAGTTTTCAAATGATGCTCATGCCAAGTTCCCCAATGACCTTGTGGTCAGAGCAGTGCACATCCCCACTACAATACCAGACCTCTCTTCTGCCCCAATCACAGGTAGCACCCCAGGCCCTGTGAGTGACATCTGCTTGCTCCCCTTGATGGCTTCACGCCCCATGTTTTGCTGTGAGCCTGAGTTTTCCTGCCTGCAGCCTCTGCATGCGGCACACAGCCTATCGTCTCTGGAGGCATTCTCATAGCCTGCCTACCTGACAGCACCCTCACCCAGCCCTGGTCCTCCAGAAAGTTCTGTGCTGGAGCAAGGGCACACAGCACTTCCAGTATCACTGTCCATGTCCTAGCCTCTCCCTAGACTCCTAGAGGCTGGGCTCCATCTGATCCATCCTCTGGCCTCTAGTATCTTCACCTCATGGAAGGACCAGGAAGTGTACATGACATAAATGAATGACTCAAGTGCTTTCATTACCACTCACACTTCAATGACACCCAAACTTACCATTCATAGCCCGTCCCTCTCGCACTCCCAATGACACACATCTACCTTCAGCAGTCATCTCTAAAAGTATCTCAAATTTTGCCTCTGCACACCAATAGCTGTTGCCCCCATGGCCTCCTTCCTTCCCACGAATGACACAAAAAGCCACCTGGTCTGCAAGCTGGATACCCAGCAATGTTTTCTCTGTCCCTTCACATCCTGTCACACTGCTCTCATTTTGACCTCCTTAATCTCTCTCCAATCTTTCATCCTTTGCAGGGCTACCCTTGTCACTTCTCACCTGAGTATGGTGATCTTTGAAACTACAACCTCATCTCCTCCTGCATGACAACCTCAGATAAAGCCCCAACAGCCGCAGATCAAATGTGAATCTGCTGGCCTAGGAGACAGGACCATCCAGGGATAGGGTCTCAGAGTTCCCTGCTGCCCCTCCCTCTCCAGTTATCTGGGACTGTCCATGGTTTCCCTGAACCCTGCAGTCTTCACTTGAACTGTTCCTTTCCACCTCCTTCACAATGGAGCAACATATGGAGCTCCTGTAGGGTACTGTGGCATGCTTCTGTAATTCCAGCACTTAGGCTGAGGTAGAACTGGATTGCTGCAAGTTAGAGGCCAGACTGCCCTATACAGGTTGTTCAAGGCCAGTCTGAACTACATAGCAAGGCCCTGTCTCAACAAACAAAAAATAAATTTGGAGCTACCCCTCATGCGCCCCACTATGCTTGGCTGTATCAGCTGTGGAGCTGCCCATTTATGCACAGTGGTCCCTGCTGGTGCACATGCAGGCCTGAGATCAGTATGTTCTGCTCAATTGTGCTTTCCAGTGCTCCAAAGGCTTCAGAAATGTTTGCCAAATATCTAAGCTTGCTCCAGCACAGACCCTTCTAAGTGGAACGGGCTCTAATAATCCTGCTGGAACACCTAAGCACACCCACAGTTTGCAGAGGCAAACTCCCAAGGAGTTGGGGATGCCAAAATTAAAGGCAATGATAGGCCCGGCCAAATAGCTCAGCAGATTAAAGTGCCTGCAAGCAGACACAGGGGCTTGGGGTTCACAGGGCCTGCTGTGCCGGCCCCACCCCTGGGTGCACTGAGACAGCAATTGAGACTGAACGTGGTGGCACATGCCTGTAATCCCAGCTCTTGAGAGGCTATAAACAAGTGGATCACTATGAGTCCAATCTAGTAGTGAGACCATGAACATCGTGTAGACCCTTCCCTAAAATACAAAAAAATAAAAATAAAAATAAAAAATAAAAGCAATGATATCACCAGGAGTTTTATTTGGTGTCATTGTTCACAACCTGCTTGAGTTGCTAGCTGCTGGGAGACACTGTAAGGTTCAAAGGCTGTAGCTGGAAAGGCTTTTTTTTTTTTGAGGGGGAGGGTGGGTCTTCTTGAGACAGGATTTCACTATGCAGTTCAGACTGGCCTTGAATTCACTTTTTATTCCAAGCTGGGCTCAAATTCACAGCAATACTCCTGCCTCAGCTTTCTGGAGTGTTGGGATTACAGACATGTACCATCATGCCTGGCACTGGAAGGAGTATAGCAGCTATACATATGGTGAAAAAATCACTTGAACTCAACTCATTCCAATTTTGTGATAGGACAAAGGCCTGTGTCAGATGTCTGGTGAGAGGTTCTTTAGTTTTCCAACCTCTCCTTTGGGGATTTGGTGCTTTCGATTTCATTTTTCTTAATACTCAGCAGCTGCATATTAATCAGAACGCTAATGAATCATAGGCTTCCCTGGGCCTGCATTCACCAATTAGCTTTAATGAACAAAATGGGCGGTCTCTTCTCCGCTGGCTTCCCAGCTCTCAGGCTGGCTTCTGGAGTGACGCCAGGGAATGGAAATGAACCTGACCCAGCACTCCTGGTGTGTGTGGCCTGTGTACGCACAGGTGTAAGATGGAGGTTGTGAACACATAGCCTCACTCATTTATTATATCTGTCCTTTCAAGGTGTCTCTCATTTGGCTTTGAGGATTAGGACCTAGCTCCCTAGCAGGGCCCAGGCTGGCAGGGGCTTGGGAAACAGGTCTAAGCAAAGAGCCCATCTGTTCACTCCAGGTAAAGCTGTGACTGGCAGGTGTGAGCAGCATTGCTACCCACTGCTGGGCCCTCCCTTCGTGGACTCAAACAGATACACAAGTAAACAATCCGCCAGCCACTTCTGACCATGCGGGTGTCACAGTCCCAGGAGAGGCAAGCTAATCAAACACATGAGGAGGAACACAACAGCACCCCTGATACTTGGGCACAGCCATGCTTTGCTGAAGTACTGCCAGGAGGGAGGTTTGAATTGAAACTGATGAGCCGCTTCCTCACCCTCTACTTTTCACCCCCGAAATATGTTAACATTTTAATCATGTTGCTGAGTGGCTGCTGCTGGATCTATTAACCAGCCCCCACACTGACTTTAATCCATCTGGTTTCTGGCCCAATGCTCTTGTGGCGCTCCTTAAAATCTCTAAATGATCTATCTGCAAAGTCTGTGTCTCTTTATCACACAGATTTGGGTCTAAGCATGTTGTCTGGAGCAAATTATCAGACCTCAGTCATTTCTTTCCTTTCTCTGGTCACTACCAGCCAGAAAAGAATTGGAAATCATTTCACCCTGCTTTCCCCCCAAGGACTTGAGGAGACAAGTAAGGCTGGCTTTGTATCTGGAGTCCTCAGGGCTGTCTCAAACCACTCCTCATTCCGTCCCTAGGCAGGCACGTCTATCCCACAGCTGAAGCCCAAAACAATGACTCCTCAGGCATCAAGTCCAGCCACTGCCAAATCCTGAGTTCTAGGTCGGAAAATCCAGTAATTTGGACATACTTACATGGATGGTCCCAGACACTTCAAAAACAATGAAGCAAGGGCAAAAAGAACTTTTGTTTTTGCCTCTGTTACAGAAACCAGTAACTATGGGAAACTACAAAGCCAGAAAGCAGGGGTCAGTGGCCTGCGGTAAGCCCTGAACAACAGGCTCTGGGGGAGAGAGGGAAGGCTGATTTGTAGTGTTGCCACCAGCCATGGGAGGAGGACCCTCACCATAGCCAGTGCCAACCAATCAACAGGAAGTCACTATGTGCCAGCTTGGGAAGAGGTGTATGCAACCAGCTCCTGCCAGCCAGCAGGAGCCCACTGCAGCAAACCATGGCAAGGCATCCCTATCATCCACTTCCTCAGCTTTTCTCTTTCTCTTGGCTGGATGCTAACCTATGTTGGAACCTCCAACTCCATCACTCCTCCCAGTCACTCTCCACAAAGCAGTCAAGTGTCTCTTTATGTCAAGAACCTGCGCGCCTCACTTCTGGGACTCGGGTACAATCATGCCTCCATATCCACCAGGGATTAGCTTCAAGACATTCCTGGATACCAAAATTTGCAGATTAAAGCTGGGTGTGGTGGTGCGCACCTCTAATTCCAGCATCTGGGGGATTTTTGAGAGTGAGGCCAGCCTGAGCTACATGGTGAGCTACTAGTGAGACTCTGTCTCAAAAAATAAGAAAATGATTGGTATACAGTTCAGTGAGAAGGCCATGGGTTCCATCCCCAGTACAGCAAATAAAAATAAAAAGTATGAGAGGATCTTTATAGGATCTACGCAATCACCATGCCTTTTCATGGAAAGGCTGGCATGGAGAAGATACAGACCTGAGAACCATGGTGTCCGCCCTAAGCCCCATGTACACAGAGGGAGGCCTGGCTATTGTGGATATACTGTCTCCTCTTCTGTGGTGTCAGCTCACTGTTTCTTGTCCAGCACCCAGCCTGGCACTGAGGATGTTCCCACCACCCTCGAACCGGTGCTAGAAGAAAGTCAGGCATGGGTGGTGGCGCATACCTCAATCCCATCACTTTAGGAGGCTGAGGCAGGAATATCTTGAGTTTGAGCCCAGCCTAGGAAACTTACAGAGAACCTGTCTCAAAATGAAAAACACAAGTGGTCTGCCAGTTAGCTCAGTTG